TCCACACGCGGGTATCCATAGCACAGGCGAAAGGCCCTTTCCCTTTGCGCTCGCTGCTTCCACGCTTCTGAAAAAAGGAGATTTCATAGCAGCGAGCTTTTCTACGTCAGGATACGTTCCTCGCTGTGTCCCACGACTCCCTTTAACACGTTAGTCCCTATATTTGACTCAGTAAAAGTGGCTACCCTGATTGGATGTTTTTATTTCTTCTTATTTTTTATTAAAATTTTTTATTTTCACCTATATCCTATTATTTGCCCCTTGCGGTGAATAGCCTTTATATTACATCGCGCCGGGTGATGATCCAGGTCGCGTCACCCCTCTGAACGTTCCTCACTTGTGTTTTTTTCCCTAACACACCAAAGGTGCACCCCTCCCCCAGGTGCGACGCAGCAACGCAGAACCGATTCCGCAAAGGGGAAGCCAGCCGCGGGGGCAATAGCACCTTGCCTACTGCCTTACACAAGCATGCAAGCGGGTCAGCGGGCCAGCGGGTCAGCGTACCGGCGAATCAGTGTATCAGCGTACCGGCGAATCAGTGTACCAGTGTATCAGCGTAGCGGTTCCCTCTCTTCCAGATGCAAACGCCTGCGCGCACCATAGGCGACAGCACCGGAATAGGAAGCGTCATTGGCATCATTTTGTTTTTGCGTTTTCCCTGCATTTGCAGCGTTTTTTTTGGGGATCTGCTTTCCATTTTCATGTTTTTCTTTTTTTTTGATTTCCCCCCATTTGCAGCTGTTTCTTTTCCTTTTTTCCCCGCTGCTCGTGTGAAGCGCGCTTATTCTTATACTTGTACTGACGTAAAAGTGCACTACGTCCGTACGATGCACGTCCACACGATTACTCGATAACACGTCCGTATGACCATAAGCTATAGTCCCCACAGAGGCATGCACTCGTGTGGCCGCAGGGCGTCAGACGTTTTCCCTTTTTGAGTAGCCCCCCCGCGGGACGGGCAAGTTTCCGCACATACAGATTAGCTCGCGGAACAGCTAAGGGTTAGTTGAAAAGTGTCAGTCGGATGATGTCAGTCGAAGGGAGCGCTCCACCCAGACATAATCGCATCGCCCTGTGACATCGCCGCCTCAGCTCGCCCCAGCGCCTCACCATCTCACCGCCTCACCATCTCACCGCCTCACCACCTCGCCGCCTCACCACCTCACCATCTCACCGCCTCACCACCTCGCCGCCTCACCACCTCACCATCTCACCGCCTCACCACCTCGCCGCCTCACCACCTCACCATCTCACCGCCTCACCACCTCACCGTCTCACCACCTCACCGTCTCACCGCCTCACCACCTCAACACCTCACCGTCTCACCACCTAACCACCTAACCACCTCATCACCTCACCACCTCGCCGCCTCACCACGTCGCAGATTTTCCCTCCCCCCACTATGAGCGAAGACGCGAGCAAACGCACCAAGCCCGACTCCCAGGGCGACTGCGAGTCCCCCCTCCAAAAGAAGATCAAGAAGGAGCATTACAACTATGAGAATCACTCCAAGGGGTTCCTGATTGGCAAGGCAACCTACGCGCAGCAGTACTGCGAAATTTACAGCTCGAGGACGAAGACGATGAAGGGGTTGCTGGTGAGGACAGTGGAACGACTAGGCCAAGGGAGCGGATGGGCGAATGGTCACGTAAGCGGCGAGCTAAACGGTCAGGTAAATGGTCACGTAAATGGCCACCTGAATGGCCAGCTAAACGGCCAGCTAAACGGTCAGCTAAACGGTCAGATCAAGAGAGAGCTGGGGGACGAAGTTAAGGGAGAAGGTGGCCAAGAGTACCAACTGCTGCACTACCTAAAGGAGATTAAGACGGACGAAAAATGCTACTGCATAGGCACGCTGTTCAAAAAAATGGAGCTGCGGCCCTCCATCCTAAACGAATACATCAGTGAAATCAGCGAGGCGGAACACATCGTGATGAACTTCTCGCATAACGAAGATCTCTTATTTCTGGAGGACGAAACGGCAAGGTTAAAGTTGGAAGGAAATATAAACAGCGATCATTATGTGACGGGGCTTACAGTCATTATAAAAGGGACGGGCATGAGCAATGGCTCCCTATATGTGGACGAGGTCATTTATGCCTATGTGCCAAAGTTAGAAGTTCCTAGGTGTATTAGCGATGACGATAAATATGTCCTGTTCGTCTCGGGGCTGTACATAAGTGACCGAAGCGAAAAAAGACATAACATCTCCTTATTGAAGAATTTCATTTTGGGATTACATGGAGATAAACACTTATCCGAGAAGCTAATCAGAGTAGTCCTTGTTGGTAACTGTCTTCGCAATGTTGATAGCGATGAGGAAGACATGAATGCCATCGACACGTTCCTTTCTTCTCTCTGTCCAGCTGTGTATGTCGATTTAATGCCTGGTGAGAAGGACCCCAGTGATGCCATTCTGCCGCAACAACCTTTTCCTAGCTTATTTTTTAAGACTGCCAGAAGTAACACCTCCTTTCAGTGCGTCACTAACCCGTATCTTTTCTCCATCGACAATGTAAACATATGTTGTATGTCCGGTGAATCTGTTACCAATATAGTGTCTTACTCAAAAAATGGTCCAGTGGATGCTCTCAAAATGATTGCGAAGAGTCGTATTTTATCTCCTACTTGTCCAGACACTCTGGGGTGCTATCCGTTCCTAGAGAAGGACCCCTTTTGTTTACTGGACGATGAGAAGTACCCCCACATTTTTGTTAATGGGAATTGCGAGGAGCTCGAGGTGCAGCATATACACGGCGAGAAGACGCTTCCCCTGCTGGTGTGCCTGCCGAGCTTCGACATCACCCCCAAGGCGCTGCTCGTCAACATCAGGAATATGCAGCACGTAACGTTGACCTTTGAGGTGGCGAAGTAGCATGAGGAACCGACGCAGCGGAGCGGCGTGGGCAAGTCTCATTCAGAAGTAGCGAAAGCACGTTACGATACGGGGGAGCCTGGCGCCAGTGCAGGCTGCCGTCCCATATGGCCCAGCACAAAATGCTCCCCCTCTGTGCACGCCCGCTTTTTGGAAGCAGACACGAGAATAGGCGGCGTCACGGCGCCCCTATCAGACATATATGTATATATATTTTTTATTTTTTTTTTTTTCCTTTTTAACCTTTTTATTTGAAGTTCAGGCGGCGCTCCGAGCCTTTTTTTTTTTTGTTTTCCTTTTTTTTCTTTCTTTTTCCTGTTTCTCCCCCTTTTAAGATATGTCTACACATTTGAAGTTTTCCCTCCACCACACATCTGCTCCCCCACCCCCCCCGTATCGCGTTCACTTTTCCCTGCACACATTTTTAACAATGGGGATCTTATTAAAATTGATTCCCCTTAAAATAGAAATTGCCCATCTTTTGCAACTGTGTGACGTATGCAAATCCGATGGGGGGTATTCCCCATCCCCCAGGAAGGCTCTTCCATACGAATTGGCTTAAAAAAACAAATGTAGCTCTTTCATTTCTTATCGTAAAAGGGGAAGCAGCTAGCCATTTGCCGAAAAAAGGAAAAAAAAAAAAAATACACAAATGGGTAATATTCGCATGAACGGTTCATGCAATCAGGCGGCAATAGAATAATTCTCCCCCTTTCGCGATTTTTTTTTTTCTTTTTCCTTTTTTTTTTTTTTTTTTTTCCACCTTGCACATTCAGGCAAAAAAATACCATTGCGGAGCACACTCTCAAAAAAAAAAATTTCCCCAAAGGAAGAATGGACAAAATGTTCACTTTCCAGGAGTATGAAATGGGCAGACGGGAAAGAATACATTCAGAAAGGATGCAACGCGAGGTACGCTAAAATTTTGTAGCTCGCCATACACGCATCATTGTGTCGTGGAAATGTCACAGAAATGTTGCGGAAAAATTTCTTCCTTCCCGATTTCGCGAAGAGCGTACTTGCATTTTGCTAAAGCGGGATGAGCGTGACAAAGGCGATCGGTCTGGTTTGCGATACGCCCGATACGGCCCCTGCGTCTGGAATAGACCGCAGAGAGGAACAAGAAAAAAAAAAAAAACACACACAACAGTGCGAGAAGTAGTGGAAACAGAAGTGTATGCACAGGTGTATGCATAATTGTATGCACATTCGTATTCACATTTGTATGCACAATTGCATGCACAGTTGTATGCACATTTGTATACACCTCCATACAATCGAGAACACCCCTATGAATGACAAAATCGTCATCCGCGAGCCCCTGTTCGTGGCGCCAAATGAGTGCAAGAGCGGCGCAGCCCAACACGAGCAAGACAATTTTTTCAGGCGGGAAAGGAAAGAGGGGGCAAATCTGAACAGCCATATAGGAACAAATGGGCCATACAAAAAGTGTCAGAAGTGGGAGCAGGATGGAGGAAACGGACAGCGGAATGACCCCCCCCTGAAGTTAAACGAAAGAGAAGACATGAGCTGTTTTGTGGAATACAAAGGGGACACTCACAATTTAAGTAACGAAAAAAATGTTCTCACTTCGTATAGAAAAGGAGAAATAAACAACAAGTACAATATAATGGATAACATACACGATGTTCACTACACGAGGGAAAGTAGCAAAAACTTGAATGACTATTTGAGACATGTGAAGATCAATCACACTGCTCCTTGTGTGGGTGAGTTCCGGACCTGCATGAATTGCTTCCTAAACATTTCGACCCTGTTTTGCAAAACGTGCAACATATTTCTCTGTGCAGTGTGCAGCATAAAATTGCACAAGAATGATCAGGACCATATTATCAATGTTGCCAGCAGTGGCTTGTTTCAAAATGATTACTCATATAATGATGTCATCGTGAGAGAAAAGGACAAATGGCTAGTCGAAATGGACAATAATGTCCCAGTTAAAATTAGGGAGAAATGTCCTGTGCACACAAATGAGTATGTGAAGTATGCCTGCAAAACATGTCAGTACACTTTCCTATGTAGTGACTGCTTGCTGAATGATCCTATCCATGTGCAGAATGAAGCAGATGGAGGGAACACTTCCAGGGAGAAGCGGCAAGATGGGGCGCACGCAGAAGATGAGTCCAAATGCAGCAGGGATGAGGCAGGGAAGAATAATGACAGTGGGAGTGCACCTCCCCTCTTTGGTATGTCCTCATCGGGAGGGAAAAAAAGCGGAAGAGAAACGGCCGATCTGGCCCTACGTGGCGGCCACTCACCAACGCAAAAAATTGTCAGCATACGGAAAGAGGCGGAGCCAACCCCCCCGATGACCACCTCAGCAGCCAACCACCACAACGACCTGGTGCAGCTCAAACCGGGGTTCAAACTAATCCGTGGAAGTCACGAAATATACACCCTGATAGATGCGAAGAATGAAATCAAGCAAGAACTGAATGACAAGCTACAACTCCTTTGTAAAAAATCTCTAGTCCTAAAAAACACAATCCCTTCCCTCAGGAACATTTACAAATATGGAAAAATCACGAGCAAAAATGTTAAGAGGTCCATAAGGGCTTCCTTCACCATTACGAATATCTTCCTGGAGAGAAAAAAAAAAAAGTTACACGAAGAGCTAAAAGTGGTACAGGACAAAAGCACCAAATTCCTAAAAAACATGGACGAACAGAGAATCAATTACCACAGCTATTTAGGGATGAAGAAAAATGAACTTCAACACATGATAAAGTTGAGTGGTCGAAATGCAGGACTGTCTCTGGATTACTACGTACAAAAATTAGAATCATACAAGTGTCTATTTTTTTCAAAGGAGAACTTAATAGACATAGAGAAGAAGCTGGAGATCCCTCACTCCAAAATGAAGTCGGAGGATTTACCTTCTTTAGTTGAACCCATGAAGATAGAAGTTTCAGAAACGAAGAAAAACGTCAGTGACACCTCTGCACTGATTAAGAAGGAATTTGAGAAACTGCTCAGTTGCAGTAGCGAGATTTCTGTTTACCCTGCGCACTTAAAAGACATCCTCCAGAAAAGGATATACGACAGGCAAAGGGATGAACCCGTGGATGCAGACGCGAAGAAGCGGCAGCGATACTTTCACGTTCTCCCGTTCACCGACCTGTACATGAACATCGGGGTGACCTATCAACAGCAGTTTTGGCGGAAGGACTCCCTGCATCAGAAGTGGGAGGTAAGGACCGTTTCGCTGCGCTCCATTTACTTGTGTGTCCACACGCACGGGCAGGCGGTTGGAAACGGCAACAGAAACAGCGACAGAAACAGCATGATAAACTTCGTAGATTCCCCTGCCGATGGAAGCCACGATAGCGCGTTCCCTGCCCAGTCGCCTCTCCGAGAGGACCCTCCCAAAAGTGGGTCTGCCGAGAACAACCACTTCATCTCGAAAAACGAGATAAATAACTTCAGCAACGACATCGAATCTATTGTGAGTATCACCAATGTGAGGGTGAAGCTCTTCTCCGACCCGGACATAACGAATATAACCGTCCTGGAGAAGAGGAACCACCCCTATGGGATAGAAATCACGGAGTATAATGAGAAGAGGGATTTATGTGGCTACTGGTTGCTGAGAGGCAACAACGAGAGTGATGTTAATACTCTATACAACACCTTAGTGAGTCTAAAGAGGGAGAACAAAACGTCGGCACTCGTCCCTTCCTTCCATCCAAAGATAAATATGAGCAATCCGATGTTTCATTTCCATCAAAAGAATGTGAATACGGTGTACAAACACTTGGCCGCGAACCTGGTGGAACAAACACGTGTGGTTCCCGTTCGGGAGAACCACGACATGGAGGAGACTAAAGAGAATCCCTTGACAGGGAATGGACTGAGAAAGCAACAGGACAGCCTCGAAACGGTGCAAAGCAGCGACACCGGTAATTACAATTACGACCCGTTCATGAGGGGATCGAGCCTCCTATACTACTACGATGGCATGGATGATACGGAGTATAGCGACCATGTGAAGAAGTATCAAATAGAAGACTTCGTCCCTGGTCCGACAAACTTATCCGATTCGAATAACGAGATGGCTCTAGCCGAGTGCAGCCAGAACGTGTGCGCTGAATCTAGCGGCACAGAATCGATGAACCCGTTTTCCCTTCCTAGAAGTGCGCTGGTGGAGGCTCCATTAGGCGGGGGACCCCAAATGAGCCGCTCCAATGGGGATAATCTAACCGCGGAGGAACAGACGAAGCCGCCCCAGACGAACGTCTCCCGTGGGAAAGTGTCGCCACAAGGAGGAGTGAGCGCATCTAGACTACACACCTTGGGGGTCCATCCAAAAAGAAGAGACATAAATGTACCAGATATAGACATCACTACTGTGAAGCCTAATTTAGTGCACGAGGAGCAACACTTTATGGCACTGAATGTGGGTTCTAATTTCTCTCATGGGGACTACACCGCGGGGATGTATAGCAACGGGGTGAACACAGCTGTGGGGGTCCATACGGGTTGTTACTCCAATGGGGATGCACAGGGAGGAAATGCACAGGGAGGAAATGCACAACGAGGAAGTTCCCTCACCGATGGAAGTCCCCTCATTGGTGTCATTCCAGTTAGTACTCCACCTAGTGAAGAACGAACCAACGTTGGAGATCAAACCAATCAGCACTCAGTGGAAAGGCGCAACGGTGATCGCAGCGCGCACGTTTCTGATGTCACCACGGAGTGGAACTATGGAGACGAGCTTGGACTGAAGAATGGTCTTAAGTTAAGCAGCCTCCCTGTGGAAGACCCCCCCAAGATGGAAGAGGGCATTCATCCTACTGGTGGCACGGGGAAAGGAGAACCTCACACGGATGAAGTAGATGGAGTGGCTATGCAGGTCCTCCATTCGACTGCTACGTCAGTGGAGAATAGGAAGACATGCACAGGTTTAGCGGCCATAGAGGGCGGACTCTGTATGCGCTTGAGTGATCGCACGGTTGGAGGACTAACGGGGGAAGATACAAAAGTGACTGATCTGGAGGAGCAATTCGCCAAGACGGGGGAGTCACTCAACAGCGATGAAGTTACTAAATTCCTGCGCCGATTGGATTGGGCACACAACACAAGTGATGGTTTGCATCAAGTGGGTTCTGAGGCGGCTACTACACCACGCAACCACTGCCAGGTGAAGCGGCTGACTGATGAGAGGCAGTTCCATACAGTCGAAACAGAAGCAGAGGCAGCATTACTTTGCCCCAACGAAGGGGACAAGCACATCCATGAAGCGGACAGAACGGAAGCGAATAACACTCCTGGATGTATGAAACAACCGGATCATAGAACCCGTAATGGAGATCCAAAGGGAGAGCCAAAGGGAGAACGTCTCAGTAAGGTTTACTCTGATGAGGGCCCCTTCTCTGATGGTACGCCCATGAATGGAACTTCCCTTTCTCCACGTGAAAGTAGGAACAAGGAGAGGCAGCTGGTTAGCGATATGAGGAGGGAAAATCTAGTAGGGGGGAACCCACCTTGTGTTGGGCATACAAGGGAAAGCATCACTACGTATGGTAAGCAGGAAGGAGATCCTCTCATTATCGTAGAAGACCATTCATCTGTGCGGGCTTCCACAAAGGTGATGGTCCCCTTGAGGAAAATGGAGAACTCAGAAAAGGAGTGCTTCCCCGTGAGGGAGATCACTGCAAAGGTGCCTTTCGGGTGTGAAAGTGTCTCCATTGAGGAACCCCAGAAGGAAATGAAAATTCATAATGTGCTGAGCGACCAACGGGGGGGAAGTGACAGGAGGGATTTGAATCAACCTGAGTGGACTACCACGGGAGTGGCCTTAACCCGTGGACACGGCAATGGAGAAGTGCGTCCCGACAGAGTGCACACATGTGAGGAGATCCACAAAGGGACCAACCTGCAGGCACATCGAAAAAACTGCGTGATGCGTTCTTCAATGAAGGACCCTCCTCGGGAAGAACAGAACAGAACGGAGGTCTCCCCAGCACGGATACATAACAAGAAGGATAACCCGATGGAGAACCAGATGGGAAACCACGAGACTACCTCCAACCTTAGTGTCATTTTGAAGCTAACCTCTGTCCACGTCGACAGGCGGGCAAGAATGGTCCAGGGCACAAAAAACGCGCAGGGGGGAATGAGAAGTGGCGTGGGAAGGACGAAGTTGCAAAAGGAGGAGAGGAACAAGACGCCGCCCCCCAAGCGGAAGAAGAATCAGGGCAGTGTAGGTACCTCCGCGGTTTCCACTTCGAAGCCGAAGGCTCGCCTCAAGACGCTTCACGAGGAACTGGAACCAGCGGGGGGCGTCCCTGCGAGTGTGATCAGTCGAGTGATGAGCCAGATAGGCAGTAAAAGGTTGGGGTCTTAAGGATGGAAAAAGAAAGTGGCGGCTATTCTCTGTTTGCCTACGGGGGGGGAGGAAGGGTCCATTCCGCAGCTCTCAGGCGTGTTCACAGCTGTACCCCTCTTGGTGGATCGTTTCCCACGCGTTTGCATGTGAGTTTGACTTCCCGTTTGAGTCTGACTTCGCGTTTGAGTTTGACTTCGCGTTTGAGTTTGACTTCCCGTTCGAGTTTTACTTCCCGTTTGAGTTTCACTTCGACTTCCCGTTCCAGTTTGCACCTTTTTCGCTTTTGCGACCCTGGTGTGGGTTTCACGCATTTGCACGTGCCTTTAGGTTTTTCTTTTATTTATTTTTTTTTTTTTATTTTTTTCTATTCGTGTTGACCACTTCGAGCACGCACATTGCATTGCCGCAGAAGTGTTTGACGAATAGGAAGAGGCGATCTCTGTGTGTGCACTTCTCGCACGAGGGCAACGTAAATTTATTGGGCCATCTATGCGTAGGGGTTAGCGCAGGTGTCGCTTGGTGTCGCTTGGTCTCGCTTGGTGTTGCTTGGTGTGGTACAGGGGGATAGTTCGCGCCGCTGGCACGGGGAAGGGCTACCAGTGGGGGCTTCTCCTGTCACGTCGAAAGGTGACTTGGCCAAGCGCTTCTGACGTCGCTTCTCACGTCGCTTCTCTCGCCGCCTCCTGCGCCGCTTCCCCCCTCAGGCGTATGGCTTTCGGGGGCCCTTTTCGGCGTTGCTGGCCGGGTTCTTTATAGTCTCGTCGATGGAGAGGATGAGGCAGGCAGCCTCGGTAGCGCTGTAAATTACGTTCCTCTTAATTTTGGTGACTTCGAAAATGCAGTGTTCATACGCATTAATGATGTCTCCCTCGTGGCAGTCCACTCCGTACCAGATGTCGCTGGTCTCCTCGGAGTGTTTCTTCCTCAGTTTGTTCAGAATATCTGTTGAGTCATAACCTGCGTTGTGAGAGAGGTGTCTAGGAATGGATTCAAGAGCCTTGGCGAATGAGTACAACACGATCTGTTCCTTGTTGCAGATGGATCGGCTATATATTCTGAGATGTTTGGACAATTGCATCTCTATAGATCCTGCTCCCGGAACGATTTCCGAGTTGCCGATACATCTAAGCACAATCATAATGGCGTCATTAATTGATCTCTCGACCTCTTCAATGAACTGATTGGCACCTCCTCTTAGAATAATTGTGACTGTCTTTGTCTTTAGGCACTCTTTGAAGATGTTGTATCTTTCGTTGCCAATTTGTATTTCTTCAAAGACACCACAATTGCCTAATATACCTTCGTGTAGGTTGAATAGGGACGTCTGTACGATAGCACCTGTTGCGTTCGCCGTTCGTTTTAAGTCGGCATCCTCCACTCTGCCTGCACAGAAGATATCATTATCGGCAAAGAACTGAGTGGCTATATCTCCAATGGGAAGCCTCGACAAAACGATGTTTGCTCCACTCTCTTTTATTAAATTCAATTTTTTAAAAATGATTTCCCATTCGGCCTGTACAATGGAGTTGTAGTCATTCGGATTATCAATCCGAACCTCTGCATTCTCCTTTTCTGCTTTTAATTCTAATTCTACATTTAGGAGTAGGATCTTCGGGTTCAGAAATGTTTTGGGCTGTTGTTCGAAACCTGCATAGGAGAAAGTCTTCTTAAACGCCACCCCATAAATCAGTTGTGTGTCTAAGCAGGACCCCCCCCTGACTTTCTTAATGCCGATGTTTGATTTGTCTAGGTTATCTCCTAGTTTGTACACTGCATTTACCACTAAATCGCTAAAGAAGGCCTTGTGATTCGAAACAAGCTTCGAATTTAATGCTGTCTGTGCACACTTAATTAGGATTTCTTTTTTTTCCTCCTCACTTTTGCTCACAAACCTAAGACTCAGATCATTCAACTTATTTATCGCTACGGTGCAGGCTTTTCTGAACCCATCGATTATCATATTGGGTTCTATTCCATCGTTAATTAATTGCTTCGCTTCGTTTAGTAACTCTCCTGCTACTACTACGACGGAGGTGGTTCCATCTCCCACTTCGTCGTCCTGTGATTTCGCAATGTCCACTAGGATGCACGCTGCGGGATGAGAAATGTTTAGCAGATTCATCACCGTCGCGCCATCATTTGTTATGGTAACATCTCTCTCCGTGTAAATCAGCTTGTCCATGCCGCGGGGTCCAAGGGTCGTCCTTATTATGTCCACGATAATCTGGCACGCGTTTATGTTGCGGATGATTTGGCTCTTGCCGTGGGCCTTGTCCGTGCCTTCCTTCAGCAGCACGATGGGTAGGGACTGCAATGACGGAGCGGTGTGAGGAAGAGCGATGTGGTAAGGAGTGGTGTAGGAGGAAGAAGCGTGGGAAGCAGCAATGGAAAACACGTCGCGATGATGCCTCGTAACCGTTTCAACCCCTGCGTGGGGCTGACTCCGGAGTTTCCCCCCTCATTGCTCCTCCATCCTTCCCTTGGGGGTGAGGGGGACTTACCATTAAGTGGCTCATTTTGGAAGAGACGAATTGGAGGTAGTCAAATGGGGGAAGCTCCTATGAAGGTATCTCCTACGGTTTAATCCCGTTTGTAGTACTTTCTTCACCTCACTGACGTAGGCAAAGGGACGCAAAAAAAAAAATAAAATAAAATAAAAACAAAAGAGTGGCAAACTAGAAGAAACAAAAGTAGCGAAAAATTATACCACCATCCAGGTCCATATCTTTTCTAACGGTCGATTTATTTCCACTTCCGTTGCATTGATTCCCCTTTTTTGTGTGACTGACTGGTAGGCATGAAGTCGGCCTCATATATTACACTTCCATTGGGGTGGGATATACTCCACTTGGCATGAGAAAGAGTTGACTTACGAATTCACCACGAGGTTTGCTACTTCCACAAGAGGGAAAGAAGCGGAAACAAAGAAAAAGAAAAAAATATGGTCCTTCGGAGTGCCCTTGTTAAAACATCACATGTAACCTTCTTTATGTTTCCTGTTGTACTAGTGTATTAGTGTACTTTTTTTTTTTTTTTTTTTTTCGTGTGAGAAAAAAGAAATATATCGCGTCAGCAGTTTGCTCCCTCTACACGTGTGGAGGTGCCTCGCCCCAAATGGGAAGTTGCTACAGTAGGGTTACTTCCTTTTGCCGGTTATGCTACGCATCAGCAGGGACCTATAAAGGAGAGTAAATAAAACACCCCTTCGTTTTACCGGCACTACATAGCAAAAATGAGTAAAGTGTCCATCGCAAAATAGAGAATCGGGGCCGAAAAAAAAAAAAAAAGTCCACCCCTTCAGGGGACTCATTTACCAACAGCGCCATTATTTTATACCTCCTACACAACCGTATGCACACCCCTGGAAGGGACATTTTTAATTGAAAAAGCCGTCCCCCCAACTTCATCCTATGTGTGACGAGGTGAGGTAAAAAATTGATCAGCACGACAGAGGAAAAATAGCTTTTCGCTAATTTGTTTAAGTTGGTATCGAAAGATTAAGAATAAAAAGAAAAAAAAAAAAAACGGATGGAGGAAAACGCTACGTAGCACATCGTTGTACACTTTCACCCTTGCGCAAAAGAGGAGCGCTTCAATGAGGGGAAAAGACAACTGTGCACAAAACTACTTAGCTGCAGCGTGGGCAGCTCCTAATGTAGAGCAAAACACCCTTTAAAAAGAACACCCCATGCACGAAACGCACTCCAGGAGTGGACAACATTTCCACATGTGCGTCCTGCGCAGATCGCACCTTGCGAACGTGACACAAAAAAAGAAAAGAACAGAAAAGAAAAAAAAAAAAAATTGTCCTGTTTTGCCCCCACACGATGGCAACCCTCTTTTCGCCTGAACAAGTCAGGTACAAATGACGAATGGGGAAAAAAAAAAAAAAAAAATTAGGGCTCATCTTGTCCGTATCATCTTCGTCCAATCTCCCCATCTTGTTCCCGTCTTCTTCTGCTTCTTCCCCTTCCTCCCATTTTCTGCTCCTTGATCCACGCCGCCTAGCTCCCCAAATCACGCGTTCGACTTGGCGCTGCTAATCACGGACAGGAACTCCGAGGATGCGTCGGAGACCTTCCCCCTGCAGGAACGAGACGAGTTGGACACGGCGGCCTCCTGCCTGGCGAAGAACGAGAACATGGAGCGCAAATTTTTGCCCCGGTGCTCCTCACTTTCCTTTTTTCTCTTGGGGTTCTTCTTAGTCTTTTTTTTTTTTGTATAAGAGGTCGATTTTTCGGCGCGGTCCATCTTGTCCATCTCGCCTATCGCGTCTTGCGCCTCGTTTGTGGTGTCAAGAATTTGGGGAAAGATTACATGTCCTACGTCTCCCTCCCCAGCGTTGTGTTGTTCCCCCTCACGAGCTTCTTCTTTCTCTACCGTCTGGTCTCTCTTGTTCGCCTGTTTTTCCTCCCCCTCGTTCACCGAGTGCTCACTTCCATCCGCATCTGGCTTGACTATTTCGCTGTACAGGTGACTGGATTGTTTCCTCCCTGTTCTTACGTTCTGCCCCATTAGGTCTGTGTCCTTCTGAATGATGCCTAAGTTTCTCTCCGTGAGAATGGCGCGGGAGTTTCCATTTTCCAAGTTGTTCAGGGATCCCTGTGCAACTTCTCTCAAACAACCAAAGGGGAAGTTGCCAATGAGAACTTCGTCATCTAGGTCGATAACAGAGCTTGAGACCCCTTCCTCCCCGTTACGATGATAGTCTCCTGTGTCTCGTGCCAATTCAGGACACACATTCCTCGCGTCACAATTGCATGTGCCGAGTCTGTGCATAAAACCTTCCTTCTTAATGCACCCATCCAAATCATATTTGGTCAGATCGGGGCTGTATTGGTAGTTGTATCTGTCGTTAGAGCTACTTGTGGTCAAAGATTCGTCTAAAGACTTTCTCTTGTTCATTCCGATCGCTGCGAGGTCACACATATTGATGCCTCCATGTTGGCATCTCCCAGTGGATAAACAGTCAGGGTCGCACGGTAACTTCACCACATTGCACAGGAGGGACGTCAGACGGCTAGCCATGTCAACATGTGGGGTAGAAAAAAAAAGGGGTCCACTTGGGGAAAAAAGAAAAAAATTCCTAACTAGGTTTTCTCTCTAAATGCACCCCAAAATGGTAATCCCTTTTTTTTGTTTTCTTTTTTTTTTCAACGTTGGAACGATGTGCATACACACATGTGTTTTTCTTTTTTTTTCCATTCACGCACACTTATCCATGCACATGTTGCTTCCTCTCCATTTAAAGGAGCAACACTGAATGAACGAACTCGTAGCGGTGAGGAAGTGGTCGAAGCGAGAGAACCCCCACATGGTCACCACGGAGGGTAGGCAGTTAACAAAAGGAGAAGTAAAAAAAAAGAAATTGCCTTTAGCAGAGTTGCCTTTAGAAAGGTTGCCTTTCACAAGTTCGCCTTTTGCAAAGTCGCGAGGGAGAAACACCTTCCGGGAATTTTTTTTAAATGAAGAAAATGCACAGAAACGACGTGGTTGTAAATTAAGCGGCGAACGACGCGACCTTCCGCGCGCAGTCGTGACAGCAATGGCAGCCACTCACAACCAATCGCAACCAATTGCAGGTGTGCTAATCTCTCTTTTGACACCGCTTTACCGAATATTGAGAGCGCTATGCAAATTCGTCATCCTGAGAAGATGCGGAGTTTTCCCGGTGACCCCCGCCGCGTGCACGCCCTTCCGGTGGGGCACAACCTGGGGGGGATGGAACAAAAAAATAAGATGTGCAGGTGTACACATCTGCTCGCACGGCAATTTTTTTTCCTGCGTGTGAATATGTTTACAAAGGTTGACAACACCTGTGCCTTTTATGATGGATTTTCTTGAAGTAAAGTTGTACACCTTGCATGGTTGCCTGACCCAGTCAGGTAAATTTCGACAAAAGTAAAAATTACCCCAGTTTTTCTGCCTGACTTGTTCAGGCAAAAAGTGGGATTCGCGCGGTGCTGTAAAATTTGGCCAATGGTTGTTAACGGGCACGTGAATGTAATATTGGAGCATTTTTCAATTAAGCGGAGGGAAAACAATCAGATTAGGATGTCAGATGCCTAGTGGCCCTCAAAAGATGTAGAAGAACTTCTACGTCATAAACGCGCCATTCTGTGGAGTGGCAACAACGGTCGAGTGATTAATGGTGACAATTTTAAGAAACAAAAAAAATCCTGGATGGTGTGTGCTCTCTTTGTGGCAGTTTAGCAGCCGACAAAGGGGAGGAAACATTCAAATGGGAAATAAAGTGATCAACATGGCGAGAATTTAATTTTACAAAACAATTCCATCTGCCAAATGGCACAGGCAGCTTTGCCTCGGTTTTTACTTTACTGGGTAAGCGTGCGCGCGTTGTCGCTCCAAGAAAAAAGTTTATCTCTTTTTTCCTCCCAACCGTTTACCGCTCACGCCCTTTGCACCAGTGCGTACACGAAGTTTCTTTTTTTTATGCCGACAGGGATAGGTACACTTTTGGCATTGAAAAAAGTACATACTGGGAACGGGATGAAGGAAAAGCATCTTTGCGGGAGGGGCATTATCGCTGTAAATGACGACTAACGGATACGCGATTATTGCTAGTTGAAAACTACTCCAATTCCCGTCTCGAGGCTTGAAAAAGCCGAGGGCAATTTTTGTAGCCTTTCTATGAAGGCGAACAATTTTAAAAAATCAAACCTTTTGCATGAAGCGGTGATCTTTTCAGCGTACGTGTCAAGTTGAGGTATAGTAGTATTTGGCAACAAGAGCAAATTAGTCGAGGGTAAACACCCCTATCACTGTGGTTCCTTTGTGGTAATCTTTTAGCAGAGCTCCTTTTTAAGTTTCTTGTCCTTTTTATGATATATTGCTTAGTGTCAGTTTTCCCCATCATGCCACGTTAATGTTAAATGAAGAGGTGGGCGCCAAACATCGCGCAATACGAAAGTGTATAACAATTTTGGCATAATCGTAAACAAAAGAAAAAAAAAAAGCTTATCAAATTTGAGAAGCCTCGTTTGGAAAAGGCAAAATGAATGGAGGTGAAAAAAGTATACTTTCCTTTCGTATAAATCTGATAAAACGTTTTTTCTTTTTTTTGGCGGCCTCCCTCGTTTATGTTAGGTATCTTTTCTTTATCAGCATCATGGGATAGCGAAGCAATCATAAGCCGGTATATATATGATTTCCATGAAGGAGGCGCAAGGGAACTAATACGACGATTGCCTATCCGCAACGCCAACCCATGTCACACATTTAAGGGGTGAAGGGAATGGGTCGATTTTACTCTGCTCAGATTTTGCATCAGTCGAGTCAGGTGACCGGAAGTCATATACACGACTTTTTTTCTGCCCAGCATACATCTGTGGACTATCAAAAGAGGGGCAATGACATGGGGGTGGATCCAACGCGCATAGCACACTATCATAGTCTGGCCCTCAACTCTGCATCTGCCCCTTTCGTCGCAACCGATCCCTTTGGTGGGAAAATGAAAAAAAGTGGATTACACCTCCTCGCCTCCTCATAATTCTACCAACGTGTGTTGTCAGTCAAATGTTCTTCCACCTGTGAGTGAGGGAAGTGTCCCGTTCAACGCACCTGCCCTGTGTGTCATTAAGCCAGTCCATTTGAAGTCTCCCCCATTCTGTGGTGACGCACTTTTCTCATTTGGGGGCCACAGTTTGGGCATCCGAAACGAGGGAGCTTACATCAACGCTTCGAATAGTGATGAGGAGCTGTACACCGATTGGACCTTTTCGCGTGGCCTCTCAAAATGTCCACACGGGTTGAGGTAACCTAGGAGGTAGGATAGGTTCGTAGGTGTGAAGGTCCTCCCCTCTTGAGTAGAAGTGATCGCAAACAATGGAGGCGTTCCAAGTTGTAAAGGATATCTTTGCACAAGTGAAGCCAAAAAGGGTAAACGGAGTTGTAGTGGCACTTTTTTTTTTTTTTTTCCCCTCTATGCGTAGTGCCGAAGGGGCTTACGCAACGTCATTGTATTTAGTTTTACTACCTACTGCTTCGGGTAAAACCGTGTCGAGGAAAAAAACCTCGCAGAGAGTTTCTTCAAATGTGAGAATGCCTCACGGGATAAAGCCGAACCTTCGTCCTACAATAAAAGTAGCTACCGTTTGGTTTTGTTAGGTTTTTTTTATTTTTTTTCTTAATTTCTCCACTTTGCCCCCTCGTATCCACCGCTCCCCGAACAACATGAGCTTCACAATAGAGGAGGAGTACTACGTGCCCCCCGAGGTTCTCTTCAATGCCTTCACAGATGCCTACACGTTGACGAGGCTTTCTAGGGGTTCCCCCGCCCAGACGGTTAGCAAGATAGAGAAAGAGGAAGTGCTAGGAAGACCACAGAGAAACATTGGCATGCCTGGTGAAGGCCCTATCACATGGTCCGCTTCCCTCCTGTTGTCGCTCTCCTGAAAAGTACAACACAAAATACTGACATTGTTCTTTCTTTTCCCGATTACCATTTAGGATGCCAAAGTGGGAGGGAGGTTCTCTCTCTTCGCGGGGAGCGTCTATGGTGAATTCATGGAGATTGAAAAGGCAAAGAAGATTATCCAAAAATGGAGGTTCAGGGACTGGTGTGACGACGACTACAGCACAGTGACGTTGGAGTTTAAGACGGTTAAAGAAAATCACACTTTGCTTAAGCTAACCCAGGAGAACATTCCCACCAAGAATAAGTTTGACGAGGGTAGGTCAATCACTTTAACCATTTGAACCGTTAGAAGCACATGAACCGTTTGAAGAACATGAACCGTTTGAAACGTTTGAACCGTTTGAACCGTTTGGACCGCTTCCCGTCCTGGCGAAGCAGGGGGGGTTCCCATCAGACCAGCGGAGCGTCAATTTCTCCAAAGTGTACCCCACTTGCACACATATGTTTATATGTTAGTCTGCCCCTCGCTCAAAGCGCACTTAATGAAGTAGCCTCTGTATACCTCTTCCCATCTCTCCCCCCTTTTCCCTGTCCTTTAACTTTTCCCTAGGTGGCGTCCTGGAACGGTGCAGAAAGGGATGGACTGAAAATTTACTGCACAACATAGAAGTGATACTGGGATACCCTAAGAAGAAGTAGACACAGTAGTGGAGAACCTGGCTTCGATGTGTCTCCCCCCCTCGCTCCGTAGGACACTCTCTCAATATTTCCCATGGTATATTCAACATCTGCATTATATGCGTCGTTATGGAAAGACAGTTGATTCTTTTCTATTTTATATTTTTTTTCTATTTTTTTTTTCATTTTTTGCACCTCTTCGAAGGACGAACCGTTGGGGCTGCTTTCACTGCCTTCACATTGTGATAAGCAAACAGTTGCGTAGCTCCCGTGGGGAGATGAAATACTTCCCCTTCTGTCTGCTCTGCTTAGAGGCTGAGATTGTCGTTTGGGCCACTTGCTGCCTGGTTATCGTTGCCGGGGCGTCAGTGAAGGGGATTCCACGCGTACCTACCTTCGTTGCTGCCAAACCGTTTTGTTCTCTGAAATAGGCCCTCAGTGAGACACTCCTCTGAACCGGATTGGAAAGAAGGCACACCGTCTCTTCTCGCCATCGAAACGAACGCGCGACTAGAAGGGACTTTTATCGTGGAGCATGTACAAATGTTCAGCGGCTATCTTTAAGGTTGTGCTATTTAAAATATATTTTTTTCTTTCCTCCCCGTTGGCGCATACTTTTACGTTCTCACCTCAGTTGGGCAGACTTCGAGATATCGCAGCGGCCGGTCGATTTGCAGATTAGAGGAGAAGCGGCGGAGGGGCGGCGAAGTGGAGGAAGGACACCTCACGTGTTCTCCCTGTGTGGGTTGCGCAGCGTAAATTTGGCCTAACGCAGCAGGGTTCGCGTACATTAACTTGGGCTAACACAGCTTCATTCGCTTAGATTGGCTCTTTTGTTTTTTTTTTTTTTCCGGAGTAACTCGTGGTATTGCCTTCCCCCCAGCATCGGGGCAGTCACCCCTATGTGACGACTCGAGGGAGCGCAACAAATGAAAAAAAAGAAAGAAGAAAAAAAAAAAAAAACCCACAAGGGGGAAACAAATAAGAAACAGCAGGTATAAGCGTAAAGATATCTAAGCTGAGAGATAAGCCTCCCGTTTTGGCAACATAACAGTCGTCGGAAAAGCTGGTAGGGCCTTTTTTTTTTTTTCATCCCCCAGTTCGCCGCTTCATCGTTAGCTTGAGGGAAGAAGGGGAAGCCGCGGTTTACGCACGTGGGACATCTTCGCCCGGCGTTATTCGTAGGTGCGTGCTTTCCCACCTATATACAGTTACAAACACTGGGGAGCGCGCGATCGGCGAGTCCTGCTGCTACTACCCATGGGCTAGGTGGCGCCGACAGGAACATAAGCGGGGAGAGCTGCACTGAGGGGGACCTACTCGAGGAGAGCTGAACAGAGGGGGACATAAGCAGGGGGATCTGCACCAAGGCGGATAATCGCTTACAGCGCGACAGTGCACAAGTGGGCATCGCGCTAAGAAGCACTGTGTCACTGCACAGGAGGTTGCTGCTTCCTCTTCACCGCTTTACCGCTCCACCGCCGCTTTGCCGCATGTCCATCCTATGCACGATCAGCGGGCAGACGCCCGACGAGCCCGTGGTGAGCAAAACGGGCTACATCTTCGAAAAGCGCCTAATCGAGAAGCACATTCTAAATTACGGCATATGTCCAGTGAGCGGAGAGGTGTTGACGCTGCAGGATCTGTACCCACTGAAAAATGAGAAAGTGGTGAAACCGAGGCCCATCACAGCTAGTAGCATTCCAGGATTGTTGTCCATCCTGCAGACCGAGTGGGACTCTCTCATATCAGAGATGTTCACACTGAGGACACATGTGAATGATATCCGAAATCAACTGACTCATAGTCTCTACCAGTACGATGCGGCAACGAGAGTAATCGCCAAATTGCTGAAGGAGAAGAACGACTACACAGAAGAGATTAAAAAATTGAGGAGTCAAATTTTAAGCATCAGGAGTGGAAACGATGTAAACGAATTCGAAGTAGGACTAAGTGAGGAGCTGCTAAAGGAAATGCAGGATCTTGCAAAGAATCTTCTGATGACAAGGAAGAAGAGAAACATAGAACATGTTACCACCACGGAGAAGTGGAAAGAGGTGACCAATACGAACGAATTCGACGTCCACTCGGCTGCACTACCGGGAGTGACGTGTCTTTGTTTGGATATTAACAAAATGAAGTACAACTATTATGATGATCATACGAATCACAGTTTTTTCTCCGGAGGGATGGACGGCAATGTGTATTACGTCTCTCTTGAGGAGAATAAAGTTCTGGCCAAATTACAGGGTCATTTAAAAAAGGTAACTGCCATTGTGGCTCACCCAACCTACCCCGTATGCATATCAGGGGCGAATGATAAAACGATCCGACTATGGAAAGGAGATGTGGACACCAACGAATTTACCACGTCAAATGTTATCACCAAACATAAAGATCAGATAACCTCCTTGGCATTGCACCCGATGGAGAGTTACTTTGTCAGCTCCTCTAAGGACAACGTATGGATCCTCCACGACATGGAAACGTCAAGGAGCATAAAAATCTGTAACAACAATCCTAGTCCATTTAGACACCTAGCCATTCATCCAGATGGAATTATGATCGGTATCGGCTCCGAAGATTCGAATATACACATCTATGACATTAAAAGTCAGGAGTACAAGGCATCCCTGAGTGGTCACACGAGTGAGGTGCATCACATCTCGTTCAGTGAGAATGGGTACTACTTGGCTTCCTGCTCAAAAGATAAGACGGCTAAATTGTGGGATCTCAGAAAAGCACAGTGTTTTCAAAGCATAGAGGTGGAGGAGCTTCCCCGAAGTATACAGTTCGATTTCTCCGGGAAGTACCTCTCTCTAGCTGCTGGGAATGATATACACATTTATAATTTCGAGACCAAGACGCAGGCCAGCCTCGTGAAGACCCTCTCATCCCACACAGACACCGTTACGCAGACGTGCTTTGGCAGCAGGACGGCCTACCTGCTCTCCAGCTCGATGGACAAAACAGTCAAAGTGTGGAGTTAGCCGGGGGAGCGGCCAATCGGTCAAGTAGCCAATGCTAACGTACCCGCCGTGTCATTTCCGTTAATTGCCACTTGGTTGCTGTGATCTTACCAACACGTACAAATTTTAAAACATCTCACAGGGTGGGGAAAAAAAAAAGAAAAAAAAAGTACAACTTTTTCCCCTCGTGGGCAGCGGGACAGGCATATTCATCTTCACCTCCCCCCTCCTCCTCTGCCTCTCCTACATGTACGAACAGCAGGGTTGACTCCAAACGTACTTTTAAACAACGACCATAATAAAGAACCAGTTTAGGTTGGCCCCCTTTTGTCCCTCTTTTGTCGCCGCGTTTTCGCCACCTCAGGCGATTGCCTTTTCTCCCAATGTTACATGCTTGAACTATTTTTTTTATTTTTTCTCATTTTTTTATTTTTTTTAATATTTTTTTTTTTTTTTTATTCTTTCTTTCTACACCCCTCTTGGGTGTGCATAGAGCGGTCCTCCGCTTTGCGGCAGATGGTGTTTGTCCACGTAGCAGATGCGTATTGTACTCTCTGTGCAACTAGGAAGTCTTTTTTTTTTTCTTTTTTTTTTTTACGTACCACATGAATGTTACTCCTTTTTGTCATTATAATTTATCATTGAAGGGGAAAACTGATGGGTTAATTTTTTTTTTTTTTTTCCCCCATTTAAGTTTACCCCGCCGCGGCGACCAACTTGGCAACGCATCACGGGGAAGAAACTAAATGGGGAAAGAAACTACATTAGCGTAGTGGTTGGCGAAGCGGTTGACCAAGCGGTTGACCAAGCTGATGACCAAGCGGCTATCCCTGCGACACACCATTTGCAGCAGACGCGAAACTAAATTCCTGTGTGCCTCCATCCCGCAGTGCTTATTTAGTTGCACCCCTTTTTTGTTTTACCTCTCGGTAGAGGCTACCGTTGGGAGCATTCCTTCCATTCCCTTTTTCTTTTTTCCCGCCACGGCACCTCTTATGCAAGTGATTCGAAAAGAACACCATTTGGAATTCCACCCCTACAACGAAGAAAAGCAAGAGAGTGCACATCGCCTTGACAGGCATGTGTCCGAAATCGGTGAAGTGAGACCATGCAGGTAATGAGGCCTCGCAAGGGTTGGTGGGTACCCTACACAAGGCAGAACACACGGACGAAACTGTCTGTCATTTTCTGCACAGTGTTGTAGCCCCCGGCTGGTCGTTCTATCCCCACGTTGTTTTGCCTAAAAATGTATACACATTGAGATTTTTTTTTCCTTTTTTTTCTGTTTTTTTTTCTTTTTCCAATTCTGCTCGCAAAGTACCGATCTTCCCAATTAGCTATACGAATAATTCCCAACGTGAACAAATTGCTTGGCGAATTGAGGTTCTTGAGGGGGGGTGTCCACCTTTTTGTGCCCAGCAAGCCATAAAAGAAGAAAAAAAAAAAAAAAAAAAAAAATTGTCCATTTCGCCTGAACAGTTCATATTCCACCTGAATGATGCCCATTTCAAGTGAACGCTTGCCACCGCTCCGCTCCTTGTAGGCACTTCCACGCAGGGACGAACGCGTCGAAGGGACTGGCCCCTCAGGGGATCGCGGCCTAAGCCAACTCGCCAAATGTGCAAGCGAGGTTTACCAACAAGTAGGTGTGCAGAAAAGGGGGAAATTTGCCTGAACAGTGCAGGCGACCGGACGCAGCTCGGAAATTGTCCAAATGGGGGGGAGCGCCACAACGGAAAAATGTCACCACTCTGGAGTGGATATACCCATGTAAACCGCTCCACACACACAAACACCCTTTGTAGGTCATCGAAAACACGGCCTGCGATAGCGTCCAGGAAACCGGGCATGACCCACGCTATGACACGTACGAAGCGTACAATTCCCAATTTGTGTGCGGCGTGAGGGAAGACATTTTCCCATACGAAAGCTTATCCAACATTGAAGAGGACAGGGCCCACAACGACAGAAGCCACCGCAATGACCGCAACGACGGCAGTCATCGCAACGATCACACCGATAAGACGGGAACAAAAAAGCTCATCAACGAGCATCAGATGGCCATGGAGAAGGATCTCATTTTTCAAAACGAAGTGCTACGGAATGTGCTAAAGAGTTCCCAACACGTGAAGGACATGCAAAGGGAGCTATTCTACGTGGATGCGCGCGACTTCGTGCCGGTGATTCCCCCGGCGCAGGAGCAGAAGGAGTATTCTCTCAGGAGGGACTATCCCCATCGCGGTGACGAAGCGGGTGACAAAACGGGTGACCATATCGAAGGAAATCGCGATTGTCACTATGGCGGTCAGATGGTCATACAGCATGGAGGAGACCGCCAAACCGCCGACCGCGGCAAGCCCAGCGGTAAAGGGATAAAGAGCCCCCTCGCATCGAAGACAAACATGGGACCCCCCAGAATAGGAGAAATCAAAGTCAACATAGACGATATAAAAAAAGGTCTACTGACATACTACTCCAACATTTATTCTTTGGACCATTACGATATAGAGGAGAGAATAAACATATTGAAGTATGGTGAGAAAAATATTTCTGAACATGTTCAGGCGAATTATTGTTACAAAAAGAGGGAGCTTGCCCAGAGGCCTCCTTTTCTGCATTACAATGACGAATTGGACAACCCTAATTCTCTTACGTACCAAAGTATGTTTCCTGATTATTACTACAAGGAGGGGGCTGGTCGCTCCAGGGATGGAAAGGAGAGGTTTCATTTGGGCAGTACCCTCTTGGACGATCAGAACAAAATGGAAGAAACGAATGCCTTCCACAGTGAATACGATCATGTCGGACAGATCTCCGAGCTGCTCAGCAGCCTGAAGAATAAATGCGCAGACGCAAACTTCAAGGCGCAGAGTCTGACTTGCCAGTTTGACCGCAAGTACGACAACCCGGACAACCGTTTCTGGGTGCACAACCTGGTTCCGATGGTAAGCGAGTCGGCGGCCAAGGGGCGGAAGAAGCGGAACAGGCAAAAGCCGAAGAGGGAGTCGACCAATTGGCAGATCAATGCGCGGAAGAGCCGCCCATCAGCCTAGCCGCCTGGCCACGTAACGGACGCCGAATACACAGTTCACTTGGACTAAACGCCTCACTTTGCGCACATCTTGTCCTCCATCCCGCGCAGCACCTTAGAAAACCGGCCCTCCACAACCAGGACGGAATCAGAAACCATCTAGTCACGACATACTCCCAGCTGTATAACGAAGCAATGCTGAATAAAAAGAAGATCGCGGCGTTGGAGAAGAAGCTACATATACTGAAGCTGCGGGCCAACTTTCCCAGGGGGGGCTACCGGATGGAGACACGCAATGCCCTCTGAGTGGATGCAACGAAGAGGCGCAATGCGATTTGAGTGAATCCAGCGAAGGCACGAGACAAACTGCACAGGCGGAGCATTCATCAGGAGGCAGCGCATACCTAGCAGCACGTCTGCCCTTGTGAATAGGGAATGAATATGAAATGAATCGGAAAGGAATTGAAGACGAATCGGAAATGAATATCAAATGAATCGGAAACGAGTGGGAAATTCACGCGTGTGTGCCTCGTTCACCTAGGATGGAGCCAACGGGGTGCTTACAATTGGACCGGCCCTCGACGGGAGAGGTACTCCGAAAAGCTGAGCCCAGTAATGAACGCTTCACCCCTCCACGTTTAGAAGCATCATCGAGGGGCAAAACTCTACTTTACACAGAAATGACTCATCACACCGGGTGGTTATCCGCAGGGAGTAGCGCATAGGTTAGAAGGGCAGCGTTATGCGTATATGTCGTGAGGGGTAACCGCTCACATCGAGCAAATGCGTCCATGCCATTATGTATTCTCCATTTTGGATACTTCCCCCGAAACCTTTGTCCCTCACTTGATACACAGGATATGCGTTCCTCCCGCCTGCTGTACTGTCTCATTTTTTTTTTTTTTTCTGTTCTTTTTTGTGCCAACCGTTAAAACCTGTTCAGACGGGAGCAACCATTTAGCTGCATAACCACCACGTCGATTAGCGTACAGTTGTTACTACCCAAAGTGGGGTAAGGGAAAAAAAAAAAAAAACACGCGTCCGGCAGACATAAAAGGAAAATTCTCGGGAAATGTGTAAAGCTACACAAATACGTTCTTGTCGTTAGAGAATTTTTTTCTTTTTTTTTTTTGCCACAAGTGTGAAGCTCTATGGGAGTCAGTTGGCACACGGATGGACTAGCAAAAAAAAAAAAAAAAAAAAAGCCGTTCAGTGGAGAAGGGGTGGGGGGGGGTTCCTTCCCCCGTTTAACCTTTCTGGACGCTGCTTTAACGCGAGATGTCTCGCTGACGCGATGGTGGAAGTGCCCCATAGTTGCACTTCCTTCTGATTGGCCCATTTAAACGGGGGCCAATCCCGGAGACGGTTCTCATACAGGGCAGGCTGCCCTTCCCCGCGATGGTGAAGCGAAACACACCATGCATAGGAAAATTATTTTCACTCCATCGGTGACGAGGCGCTGCTTCGACAATTGAAAAACGCGTAATGCTCACCGACACACGAAAGAAGGAAAACAACTCTCAGAAAGGGTAAACCTGCAAAGGGAAGGATAAAACCCTCCCCCCGTATACGGCTGTGTTTCCACGACAAGCCTGACCACCAACCACAATATATAACTTATCACTGAACACATCATCCTTCCTTTGCCTCGTTCCTTTTCCATTTATCAAAAAATGGCGAGCCTCTTAATCTGCGCAGCTGCAAGGAGCTCCTGCTGGGCCACCCCCGTAGGCCAGAGGAGACACAAGAGCCACATAAACTCAGTCTCCATTTTGCAGCAGTTTTATAACAGACTGCCCATTCGGAAGAAATACATAAAGGCGATAAAGAAGGGCACGCTGATCTGGGACAAGGGGCAGGTGGGCCTCCTTCGCAGAGCGAACGCGGCTGGAGGCAGTGCCAGCCGCGTTACCGCTTGATCGCCTTACCGCTTGATCGCCTTACCGCTTGATCGCCTCACCGCCTTACCCCCTCACCGCAGGTCAAAATCCCGCCGCTCAAAATCGAAGGATACGACCCGCCCAAGAAGTGCCTGTCGCCGCTCGTCAAGAATAGGAACAACCAGTACCGCGGAAGCTTCCTCAATTTGAAGGCCCACCGGGTGGAGTTCCAAGACTGAGCGGGACACGTGCGATGCGATGTAACGCCATATGATGTGATTCCATACGGTGCGACGTGACGCGATGCTATATGTTGCGATGCTATACGTTGCGATGCCTGGCGGGTCACCCGTCGGAGTGTACTCCACCCCTTTGCACCCACACACAAGTGGAAAACTTCACACCCAATCATGGAAAAAAGGAATTCACCCCAACGGATGGACCTCTATACTTTGATGAAGCGACGAATCGGATTGGGGTGCGCCGGGGGCTGTGCCTGAACAGGTGCGCAGTTTGATGGGGCGCTTCAGAAAAGAAGCCACCACGGGGGCATCTCTTGGGAAAAAGAAAAAAAAAAAAATCCGGCGGGGCTGTGCACCACCTTTTGCAGCCCCGCGAACGAACCACTCGAGGAAACACAAAAACAAAGAGGTGAACGCGGTGTCATGAGAGTGCTGCTAGTAATGCTAGCAGTGGTGGTGGTGGCGATGATGCTCGTGACGATGCTGCTAATGGTGGCGGTGGCGCCCGCCTCTGCCCCACACCGGAAGCGACTATGCACCCCGCTACGACATATGGCATATTAGGTAGTACATGTGACATATTACGTATGACGCATCACCCATCACAGCGTGTAGCGCAGCTCGTCGCGCGCGAAGTTGCTGTCGGCGAGGCGCTCGAAGGGCGGGTACACAGGGACGAGGCTGTCCTGGTGCCCGATATACACGTTGTTGTAGATCTTCCAATATATTTCGCGCACCTTCCTGGAGGGGTGAAAAATGCCCTGCACTAGATACTGGAAGATGATGGCGGGCCCCAGGGCTACCCTGAATCCATCAATAGAATCAATGACCGCTTGAATGAGATGAGGAGAGGTCTCAAATATATTGGGCCACACGAAGTTTAGCAAATGGATCAGCGCGTCTTCTCTGTTTAGTCCAAAGCAGCCAAGTGCTAAGTGTTTGCAAGCCCAGGTGGCAATCTGTCTGTGTACCAAATCTCGATCCATGAGAGCGTGTTCCAGCAGAGGCACCACTGCGTAGACATAGTCTTTTGCAATTTCGCCGATATATTCAAACATAAAGGATAGAGCCTTTAGCACTCCATTCTGCACGTTGAGATCCTGGGTTCGATACTCATTCATTAGAGCAGCAAGGACGGAGTAGGGAAGACACGTGTCTGCTACTATGGCAATGGCAACCGTGGTACACACTCGGAGTTGTCTCTCCTGGACGCGCAGATTATTAAGTAAAACGGTTAGAACCTCAAACGGTCCGATCGTTCTGGCTATATAGCCAAATGTCTGGATCGTTGCTCTTCTGATTAGTTTCTTATTCGATTTTAGCAGCTCAATTAGATCGAAACATATGCGATCCCATTCCTTTGGAGAGACTAAATCACCTCCCTTGTCTGCAATGATGCCAATCAGATCGATAACATTTTCTTGTACCTTCTCATGTCGGTTTTTCAAAATGGGGGTTATTCTTGGGAGGAGGTCCTTTATCGGTGGAGTCATGTTCTGCACGCCAAGGACCACTACGATGGATTTTAACGCACCGATGATGTTTCCTAACACCTCTGGATATTCTTCTCCAAGGTATTCATAAAGGTAGAGGGCCAGATGACCCAACATCTGGTGCTCCTCGCAGAGATGCATCAGGTTGGCGATCCTTGCAATCAGCTCTGCGCTCTGTTGTCTAATCTTTGGTAGCGGCGTGTTTAGTCTCCACCGGATGATTCCGGCTATCTGCGGCAAGTAGGGCTTCATTCGGATCTGCAATTTGTTGACAATGGCATCGAAGGAGTTGAGCAGGACGTAGTAGTCCTCTGAGGCTTGCTCCTGGAATGCGTAAAGAATCCCATCGATTAGTTGCTCCTCTAATGTCTGGTCTATATCGTCTACCCCCTGATTATTGACGATGCTTTGAATTGTTTGCATCACCATCTTTCTGAACTGCTCAGAGGGGTCCTTCAAATCGTCCACAATCCTCGCAATGACAACGGCTCCTCCTATTTTGTTTGAAATTTCGACGGTCGTTTCGACTATCAGATGTAGATTCCTCTTATCGTGGCTACCTCTTAGAACCCAAAATTTGTCAAAAAATGGGTTCAACACCTCCTGATTGATGTAATCCTTTTCGATGCCCTCCGTTTGTATACACTGCTTCACACATTTCAGAACAACCTTTTTCATTTCTTCATCTGGGGAGTTAAACTCATTAATGAGAATCACCATGACTTCCCTCGTGTAGTAACTCGCATGGTATGGATCCATCAAAGGGATGATCAATCCGATAGCTTTTAAAAAAGCAGCTAAGACTTTACCTCTATGCTCCGTGATTCCCTTCCAGAGAGGTCTCAAAACCGAGTCAAACGCTTCAATCCCATACGGTGCTGCCGCTTCCGCTAACGCCGCTATGGCCAGCGCAGTGATGGTCTTTACTTTCTGTTGCTCATCATGTAGCCCATGAGCCACAATCGAAACGAGCTGTCTCAGGTGAGGCAAAACGGCACACCCCATAAGAATGGCAATCTGCTGAACAATCTTAATCCCTGTGTGTCTGGCTTCCCAATTTTTCTTCGATTGACACACCGCTTTGAGAAACAGAATCAACGATGGAATGCCAAGTGCAGATGCAACAACGGCAAATGCTCTCGCAGTGGTATTCCTGACGTACTCATCCGGATGATCTATATCTGGTCTCATAATACCAATCATAGTGGCTAACCCTGCCGCTTTGGCTAAGTTACTTATTATTTCTCTTCCTTCCACTCTGGCGTAGTAATCCTCATCGATTAGCAGCGGCTCAATGACGACTAGAATTTTGTGTACATATGGTCTGACCAGATCATCCAGCTTAAATAAAATGCGGTCAATGACTTTTACGAGGAGGTGTCTCTCCTGGTCTTCCAACGTATTATGCATCATTAGAGGAAGAATCAAATTGAATAGCGTCTCTGGACCGAGTTCCTTTACCTTATCGGTGATAGCCCTGAGAGCGGTCCGTCGAATCGATGGCGTTCCATTCTTTATCTTAAGGAGAAGAATCATAAGCTTCCTCTCTTTCAGCTCCTCCTGTGAGAGGTCACTCTCGTCAACGGTTTGAAAGAGCTTACTGAAATAGATGAAGTCTTCATTTTTTAGCTGAACATATTTTAGCTCGCTTACCAATTGGGGGTTCGTTATTTCGAACTGCCTACTTTGTAGCAGTGTCTCTCCTACTTCTGCATCCTTCACCTGACTTGTCGTAGCGGTCGGTATTTCGTAGAAGGGGGTTCCGCTCGGCAGCATTCCGCTCACCAGTGTACTATTCATCGCGTCTCTACCCGAATAAGGGGTCTCCATCCCTCCTGTGTGGTGCTCCCCCAGTGAAGCAGTCACTCCTGCAGTCGGTCCTGCAGTGGCTCCTCCAGCGGATGCACTACCCATCAGAAGGGGAGTCCCCGCCGTGCTCGCCACGGTCTTAAAAAACGCTTTCAATTTGTTCCTTCTTATCGCCTCGTACTCCTCTGGGGGCTGCACAATTTCATATCCCTCAGAGGGAAGCAGCTCGTCCAGGTCCTCATCGGTTAGTGGCCTGTTTCGGATCTCCATTTCGTTCTTTATCTTCATTTTGATTATCGAGTCCACGGCCAGGGAGGCCACTCCCGGGGTCATGGGTGTGAACATCGTTGCGGCGTTACCCAATTGGTTCTGCACGTACGGAGTGTTGACGAAGTTGCCGCTTCCGGGCATGAGGTAGGGCGTCTTGAGCATACCTCCTGGGGTGGCCCCCCAGGTTGCTATCCCGCCGGTTGTTACCCCTCCGGTTGCTACCCCTCCAGGAGCCACAACCTTAGGCGTTTTCATCATGTCACTCTGGGCGAGGCTATCCGGCGCTGACCCAGCAGTCCCTTCCCCGACTTTGTCCCATCTCGAAATCTTTTTCTTCTTTACTGCACCCCCGTCGTTGAGTATGAATGGTGTGTCAACCCACTTGGACGGTGCGGGCGTCGGCATGTTGCCAAAGCTGGTCGATTTGCTCTCCTCTTCGGATAAGATGTCCCACTTACTTTTCCCTTGTTCTTTCTTAATTCCTTCATTCGCTTTAGTGGACGTACCTGACTCTCCTGGTTCTCCTCTCCCGGCGGTGTCACTTTCGGTGACACCCCACCTCATCTTTCTACTACCCCGTGGTTGGGCACCGGTGGCCTCCAACGAAGCATCCTTCGCAGCAGCAGTCGCACTGACGGCTGTGAGCTTCATCTTTTGACTCTCACTGTTTCGGTCCATCATCACATCCGCGTAGGTTCTCTCCCCGGGGGATGGGCTCCTGTCTCCAAAGGGGTCAGCCCTCCCCGGAGATATCATATAATCATACTTCCTCCTCTGAAATTCATTTTCCCTTCTTCTAATGGATTTGTCTTTTATCAGCCCGAGGCTTTTGTCATCCAGGTCGTCATTATTGAGGTCGTTCTGGACTACTTCGTCCTTCAGGCTAGCTACGTTTATGTGATTTCGTCCCATTCCGCCGATTGAGTCACTTCCCATGTGGTTTGCTGACTCCTCATCCTCCAGGCGGGTCTCTATCTCCAGGTCGTACTGGACATCCCCCGCTAGGTGGTCCCCTCCGTTCATTTCCTCGTTGCCGTACTTGTGCTTCTTGACTCCCTCCCGTTTCCCCGCATCGTACTCACTGCGCTTCGCCTCCATTGGGCACGTCTAGGTGAAGCGATGAGGAGGAATTGCCACGGTTGAAGCGGGGAGCAGCGATTGCCACGGTGAAGCCGAGCGTAGGCATTACCACTGCTTCGCGCTGCTACACCACGCCGCTAATTCCCCGCGCCACTATTTTGCCGCTCCTCCTCCCCCCTGGAAGCTCCTGGGAGTTGTTGGCGACACGGGCGGGGAAAAAGCAACATACATACATATACCTTCCTCCCATGCGCCACTCCGCGTGTTGGAAGATTGATTACACGAATGGGCCGTCAAAGAATGCAGCCATATGGAAAGGGGGCTGGTTAGGGAAACCTCGTTTCGTGCAACTAACATATCATCACGCAGCGCCTCGCAAACAAAAAGAGCATCAGGCTAATTCGCGCTTGCACTGCTTCTCATATCTGAGAGGTAAACACAAAATGGGATAGAAGCGCCAAGGAAGGTTGCAAGAACGTTCATGTGGCGTGTTATGTTATGTATTCCCCCAAGATGTGGATGGGAACAGAGAAAAAAAAAAAGTAACTCCAAATTGGCCTTAAAATGTTGGCACTTGGAAAAAAAAAATAAAATAAGGCACTAAAAATGTATGAACTGTTCAGGCAGAAAAGAGAAAAAAAACGTCAAAAGGAAAAAAAAAAAGCTGCATAAAAGCATTCTTCAAATCTTTCATCAAATTTTTCCTCAAAGCTTTCATCACAATTTTGAACACATGATGGTATCCTCCACGGACGGGAGATGTACCTTCTCTGTGGGGATGTAGGAACATTGCGCAGGAAATAATTCTGCAGAAAAGGTTAGCCAAGCCGATACACTTCACATCTTTCCGCCGTGAACAGGAGCTTTCCCCTGTTACCGCGGCGAGCCATAGATTAAGGAGAAGCACATGCGAGTGACACTTCCTCGCCCTCCATTCACTGTGGTGCTTAATTCACGACAGTGTGTCAACCTGGTGAGTGAAAAATAGGACGAGAGGGAAGAGACAAGTTAGGTAACTCCTCTTCTTCATCTTCTTATTATTCTTCTTGTTATTCTGCATCTTCTTTTTTTTTTTTTTTTTTTATCCATGTTGCCCACGCGTGTGATCGGAGGAGGTCAAGGGAACTCCACATTGGCGATCTGTCACAAGCTGGCACATCGCGTTCTACAAATGTGAACCCGGTGACAGTGGTTACTCTTACCTATTCTTGCTTATTCCCTTTTTGATGGAGTGGCCAAATCGGAAGGCAACACATCCCACAACACCGTCATTTGTTTGCCCTCTTTCTTCCTATATATAGGCAACTCGGAAGAGGAAAACAGAAGATTGGCACCATTCGTGTATCGAGCAATCCTCACAAGAGTGACCGTAGCGTAGAAGCGGGCAGTATAGAACACCCGTTTGTCGATCAAGTGGAAGGTGAGCCTTATATTTGCGGCCCCCCCCTGGAGGGACGGGACAGAACTTGCTTCCACGTGTGTTCAGTAGACACATCAAAATCGGCTCGCCAGTGCGTTAGATGCCCCGCCTGTTTACTATCATATGTGCACGGACCTACCGACCAAAATGATCGTGAAGGTCTTCGACCACATATACATCAGCAACGTGTACGATGCAAACGATATTTACCATCTGATAAATTTAAACATCGGGGGAGTCCTCACCTGCTTCCGTTGCATGAGCATCGAGTGGTGCCACCATGACCCCAAGGAGAATAGAAAGATTTTCTACAAAGATAGGTTTCTAAAATGGAGGGGGGAATTTTTGAGGGACCATGGAGGAAGGGGCTCCTCCCCGTTGGCAGTATGTCAGGGGGTCTCAGCAGTGGGAGGCGGCCCTGAGGCGGCCACGAGATTCACCCCGTGTAGCAAGAGTGCCGGGGGGGACACTTTTTCACGAGGGACAATAGGACATATCGAGGAGGACCTCTTTACGAAGCCATACGCACACTACGACTATATTCTTTACCCACTCGAGATTGTTAAGACGAGGATGGCCAAGGAGACCATCGATGATTACGTAAAAGCAATGGTCCATTTGAAGGAGGACGTAGAGGTGAATTGCATCCCCGTTGTTGACACAGACGTGTCAGCATCGGCAGAAGAGGAGATAGAGAAGTGCCTGGGTGGAGTGTCAGACCACGCGGACGCATCGAACAGCGACCAAGGCGAGGAGAACCGAACCAGACAGAGAAGCAGCAGTTTAGGAGATGAGCAGACTGTATCTGAAAGGAAGAGTCATAGTCCGAATCCAAAGGAGGGGAACCACCCTGAGGGGATTTCGAGAAGTGCCGAAAATTTAACATTGCCTAGCGAACCTGATGGGAAGACGCCCCATGACCGATTAGCCATTTTGCCAGGGGACCACCCTGGGATGCCCCCCATGAACGGGCAGCCAATACAGAGAACCACACAGACGATATGCCAGCTGAATGCAATTCTGAGGGATGAAAAGAATAGAACCGTCCCATCCAGCAATGTATACAAAATGAAGCATATGTATTTGGACATCTTAGACACCTTGGATGAGAACATTCTGAATCATGTGGACAAGGCCCATGCCTTCATCGACGACGTGATTAGGGATAACAAAAATGTGTTGGTCCATTGCATGGCTGGTATCTCTCGCTGCTCATCCATCATCCTCTCTTACATTTCGAAGAAGAATGGGAAGGGCATTGCAGAGAACTTTGCCACTCTCAAGGATCGCTACCCCTTCGCCCATCCCAACGAAGGCTTCTACAGGCAGCTGCTTCTCTACGAGCGGATGAACTACACCTTAGATGTAACTTTAAAAAAAAATGAATAAAAATGGAGAGAGACTCGCGCTACTTTCGCAACACCGTGGAGGAGCCGACGCGCGGGGGGAGTCTGAGTTGAAAGAAATGCGCCTTCACCTGTACAAGTATGCGTGTGTCCATGCGTGTGTCCATGCGTGTGTCCATGCGTGTGTCCATGCGTGTGTCCATGCGTGTGTCCATGCGTGTGTCCATGCGTGTGTCCATGCGTGTCGTCATCCGTGTGGTATCACCGGGAAGGGATAGATGCCCTTGTCTGTACCATAGTTTAGCTTCCCCTTTTTTTTTTTTTTTTTTTTTTCATTTTTTTCTTTCCCCACCCATGCTGCTTCGCAACAACCCGTTTCGGAGATAGTGATAAAGGGTGGCATCGCTTCGACTTTGTAAGGAGCGATAGTTGAATGGCCTGTCTTAACTTACGTGACGTAGTCTGCACGTTTCCCCCAACGCAACGTCTCGCGGACATTGTTACCAACACAACATCACGCACACATCTTCGGTGCCCCCCATGTTTACCTTTCCCCCCAAAGGGACGAAGCGAATACCATCGCGTCTATGAAGAGGTAAAGCGCGACCGGGGTGCACTGGAGCAGCTAAAAGGGTTGAACCTCAAAAATGAGCCAGACGCGATGTACAAGTTTAGGTGCAAGTAAGGCTTCGGTGAGCAGCTGGCTGAGCGGCTGCCACGTTTTCGCAACGAGTGCCTTTTGTGCGAGCTCGCACCGATACGTCGCCACTGCATCACCGCTAAATTATCCCTTGCCCTTCTCAGATTCTGCAGGTTTACCCTCTTCAACGACAACGACATCATTGAGCATCAGTTGGACAAGTACAAGATAAAGAAAAAGGTAACCACGTGGCGGAGCAGAATGAGGAGGAGGGGAGGAAGAAGAAGAACAAGAAGCGGTGAAGTCGTTCTCCCGGGGTTCCCTCCCCAGATGTTCACGCGGATTGATCGCTAAATTGGGCGGCAGTGTGTCATCTGCGGTGGACACCACCCATCCTCATCGTGTCGTTCATATGGTTTTCCTTTTCTTTACTTTTACATTTTGCACCTCCCCCCTTTCCGCCCTTCCTACTACAGTACGGCGATTCCTGCACAAGCATCTTCATCGAGAGGAAGGAGTGGATTCTCACGGAGCAGAAGATGAAGGGCGTCTTGATTTGTCCAAACAAAGATGTAATTCATGCATGGGGAGACTTCTCTACCTTGTGGGGCCGTTCCAGTAGTGGCCCCTTATGGTTCGCCTACTGAGGTAGCCGTCTGGCCCAATGAATATGTCCCCCGGGGCGTCTTCGCCCTGTGCAGTCATTCGATGTAGAGTTACTCCGTGTGTTCACTTCGCCCGTGATCTCCCCCCCTCCGCAGTGCAGCGCTAAGCTAGGAAAGTGGTCCTGGACCGGAATCTGCTGCTCGTGCGGCTATTTACAGACCCCAGCCTTCATGGTTCGTGCGCATAGTCAGAGCGGCACTGTGCCTATGTCTTCGAATGGGGTGTGTGTGTTGAGACCCACGTAACTCTGCCCCGGTGAAGAAGAAGCGGAATCATTTGTACCCCTCCGCGTAAAATACCGCATGTGCTCCTCTTCCTACTCAGATTAACACGTCTAACGTCGACCGCATGAGGATTAACCCCAACTAACACCAAACCATGTGCCGAATTGAAGACGCATGACCATATGGACCACCGAACGAGGGAGGGATCCTCACCTGTTTTGTTAATAAGATGTAGAGACATTTCTCTTTTTCTTTCTCTTTTCCCTTTTGGAGGACTCCCTTGGGGATGGTTCTCTCAAAAGAACACACATTCGCATTATGGAAAAAAAAAAAAAAAAAAAAAAGTCAAAAAAGAGAGGGGTTACCCGATTGGTGTCCCTTCGCTTTAATGTCATTATTCCCCTGTGCAACAATGTTGGTTTTAATTCGCACCTCATTCTCCTGGCTCTTCCTTCTGGAAGAAAACTTCATATCTTCGCCTCCGGTTTGTTACCTCCGATTCTTTATTGCTTCTTTAGGACCCTATAACTCCTCGTCGGGTTTGTTCTGCGGCTCACTCCTCCCGTCGACATCAACGATGGGTGCGGATCTTCCCTCTTCGGCGCGAAATGGGGGAGGGTGAAGGGGAGAGAGTAGTGGTCATACCTTACAGGGGCAGATACGCCTAGGCTCTCTCTTGAGGTAGGGGAGGGCTAGCGAATACCCACCTGGAAAGCGCCTGTCGAAGCCGACTTCCAAAAAATCCACTTCCTTCTGCATTAGGAAATACGTAACTAGGTTTTCCGTAATGGCTGCGAAGGGGAAGGGAGCGGTTCCCGCAGGTGTGTGTGTGTCTGGGGGGGCACCAACATGCCTCTACGCATGTGCTTTGTGTATGTGCATGTCTGATTACACCAACGTGTCCGCGTGGCGTCCGCGCGGTGGGTGCCGCCCGATGAATCCACCTTTGTCCTGGTAAAAGCACGTCAAGATTCCCAGTCCAGTTTTCTTCATTTGGACATTCATCATTGCGTTTTGCAGCAGAGTCATGTACTTCTCCCCGAGGCGGATGAGCGACAAGTGGTTTCGGAACGTCCTCTGGGGGGGAGAGGTGCAAGTGGTGTACGCGGGGTAAGCGATATAAGCAGTGTATGCGGCAGTGCCGAAGTAGGGGGCAAGAACTGTAAACATAGCAGAAGTGATCGGTGTGACAATAGTCACAGACGTGTCTGCCTCCACCCCACTGCTCACTAGCCATCCTTACGTATTTCTCGTCCACGCGCACGTAAACATACAGCTGCGTCACGTACTGGTAGTAATCCTTGTGTGCTATTTCATCGATGCCTGCGTGGGAGCCACGTGGTGGAGAAAGGTGCATGCATAAGGATCGCTTTATCCGGGTAGTTGTCTCAGGAATGTGTTCTTTTTCCCCTTTCGAATGACATCCCCCCAAAGGACCAGTTAGCCTGACAGGCGCGTTCATGAAAAATGCTTTTATTTAGGGGACCCCCTCCCACCTTCGATTTCTTCCTCTAGGCCGCTTAAGTCCAGTTCGCTCATGTCTTTGTCGAAGTCACGGGAGAAGACAGCCCCCCCACCGCCTCCATCGCTGACACCACCTGGGTTTCCCCCCCTCGCGCGGCTCGCAAGGGCTATAATGAGAAGCAGCAGGAGGTGAAGCGGCTTCATGGGCAAGGCACAAAAAAGAGGGCGCAGTGGGGCTGGGCAGGTAGCTGCATAGACCACACAGACTGATTCCCCGACAGAAGCAAAAAAGAAAAAAAAAAAAGAAAAGACAACCTTCTGCCGCTACTATCAAACGCGTGACAAAAAAATTCGTAGATTAACGAAGCTGCAGAGAAAGGCTAATCATGTTGTGGTTCGAAACAGAAGTAGGTTGGCTAACTAGCGAATAAACAGAAAAAAAAAAAAAAAAGCAAAAGAAATAGCAAAAGAAATAGAAGAAGCAAAAAAGGCAAAATACTTCTTCATCTTCAAACATGTAAAAACCCTTGTGTAAGGCAAATTTCGTGTATATACAAAAAAAAAAAATAAATAAAGATAAAAAATAAATATGCTCTACCTGGTGGGGACGAAACAAAACTGGGAACTCACTCAACAGTGCCATTGAGGAGCAGCGAATTGTCCATTTTGGAAACTCATCGGGATAGGTACCCCTGGCAATCTACAGCTGTCTGGGGGTGTGCGCCACATTTGAGGAACGCACACAGACACGTAGGTGTATGCGTTTTTTTCTTTTTTTTTTTTTTTTTTCCGCTTCTTAGCGTGGTCACTACGGCCGGGTGAACTTCTCTCCGCGGGGCGCTCCAGACAACAACAATGACAAGGATAAGGATCTCCTAAAGGAATTGCTTCACCCAGGGGTGGGTCTTCACCTCTTCGGCTGAGATGCGCTCCTCCGCCGTTCTACTGCATAGCTACGCCGCGAAAGGGGAAAGCAGATAAAAGGATGAAGCGAAAAGGAGAGATACATAGGTAGATGATCGGGGGATCATTGCTACTGGAGCGTATGGACAGACATGGCTGAGCTGACACGACAGAAGAGAAGAGAAAGCAGAGAAGAAGCAGAGAAGAAGAAGCACACTAAACGGAACGATACACTAAATGGAACGATACACTAAATGGAACGATACACTAAATGGAACGATACACTAAATGGAACGATACACTAAATGGAACGATACACTAAATGGAACGATACACTAAATGGAACGATACACTAAATGGAACGATACACTAAATGGAACGATACACTAAATGGAACGATACACTAAATGGAACGATACACTAAATGGAACGATACACTAAATGGAACGATACACTAAATGGAACGATACACTAAATGGAACGATACACTAAATGGAACGATACACTAAATGGAACGCCACACTAAATGGAACGCCACACTAATGCAACGCCACACTAATGCAACGCCACACTAATGCAACGCCACACTAACGGGACGCCACACTAACGCGACGCCACACTAACGCGACGTACCTTCAGTATGAGATCCCGCGCCTGCAACGAGATGGCCTTGGGGAAGTGGAAGTTCAGCTCCTTGATTTGGCTGAATATCCGCTCCTGCGGTTGGTGAAGGGGGTGGGGGAGAATTTTAGATGGGATACTCACTCGGGAGAGTGCACAAGGCGGCATCGGGAACACCTCCCTTAAGTCGCCGCTACACAGCTACGCCACATCCACGCCGCTACCCACCTGCGTGTCGTCCGTGAAGGGCGGGAAGCCGACGAGCAGCTCGAAGATGACAATACCCAGGCACCACAAGTCGACGTTGCAGTCGTAGGGAATCTGGTTGATGATCTCCGGAGGCATATAGTCGACCGTCCCACAGAAGGTGCTTCTCTTTTGTCTCTTATTTTTGAGCTGACAAGAGAATCCAAAATCAGCAATCTTAACGGTCCCATATTTATAAATCTGGTCTCCTTTAGGATCATCATGAGAGTGATGCAACAGAATGTTGTCCGGTTTTAGATCCCTATGAATAATATTAAATTTATGTAAGTAAGCCAAGGCATCCGCAATCTGATACACATACAAGGCTACTTGCTCTTCCGGCAATGGTTGTGCATCTGATTTCATTTTGTTTCGTATGGATCCTCCATTGGCTAGCTCCAGAATGAGAAATAAACGGGTTCTATCTTCAAAATAGGCTATTAACTGTAAAATGTTTTTATGATTTAAGCTTGCCTGGATTATTATCTCCTTCAGGACTTGTCTCTCTATATTCAATGACGCGATGGTGTCTTTCGCCATAACTTTCAACGCTACATACTCGTTTGCTTTTTTTATGATGGCTTTAAAAACGAGTCCGGTCCTTCCATTCCCTATGGGATTTTTGTCGACTATAAAATCGTCTTGCTCGTAATTCCTTTCGTTCTGCTTCAGATTGAATGCACTCAGTGGCTGTAGCATCAAATGATAGTGCTCGTCTTGCAGTGCGTCGCTCAGTGGATTCTTCTCGCTCATCTGCCTTGGAGTGTCCTCTGCGTTTGCTGACCCTCCTTCTGCAGATGGAGCGGCGCCGACACTTGCCGCTTCGCCCGCAACGGCTGCTTCCCCTACAACGGATGCTTCCCCTGTGCTTATACCTTCCTCCTTCTTTCGCTTCTCCTTAGCTAACCACTCAAAGTAGGACATTTCCTTCCTTTCTCGTTGGCTGGCCGAGCTGCTCGAGTCCTGCATGCTGGAGTTCTTCATGCGAGAGTTATCGCTCAGCGTGTTCTTCGCCGGAGAGCTCTCTTCCCCGTCACAACTACGTCTAACTCGGTCAGAAGTACTTCCTCCCCCCTTGGAGTGTTTTCCCCTCTCGTCGTAGCTATCACTGCGCTTCCTAAAGCTGGAGGCCCTATTTCCTCCCCCCTTTTTCTTCCCCTCGCCGTCTTCTCCCTCCCCACCGCAGTCATGCGATCCACCCAAAAAGATATTATTCGAATTGTCGCTCCTCCTCCGTCTGTTCATATTTCTAGGAGGAATAGAATTGCTCTTAACATTTTTTTTTTTTTTCTGTTCCCTTTTGTGTCTTTCCATTTCTTCACTTATAGGATCTTTGTAATTTTGATGGCTATTCTGTGTCCCTTTTTTCGAGTTAGCAAAATGGGTGAGGTTGCATCTGAGGGGTTCATCCTTATTATGTTTCTCCTCTGCGTTTCTCCTGGATTCTATGACATCAGCAGAACCGATTTTTGATGCATCTTCTTGATTTCCGCTCTTCCCACGATTTTCAGCATTTCCAGCATTCCCAGGAGCTTTGCCTCTACATTTGGAGATGGGAACCACTGGTATCCTCTTGCTCAGATGACTGTTACTGCCAATGGTATTTGCCGATCGCTTGCTCATCGGAGCTGCGTTGCTTCTATTATTGTTGTGACTGCTGCTGTTGTTCCGTTTGGTGGTGGCGCTCGTGTTTCCGTCCTTCGCCAGAGCGTTCCTACTGCTTTGTGTGTACAGGTGCGATGTGATTTTTTCCCTCCTTTCGCGTGCACACACTTTGGAACCCCTTAACGAACTGCTGCTTGCGCTGCTTAGCAACGCCCCGGACGTTTTCCCTGAACTGCTGCTGATGCTGCTCATGTTGCTGCTGTGTTGCTCGCGCGGGTTCCTCTTGGCGCCAACGTCGGTGGTTTTCGCTTGCTGTCCCCGGGACGGCGCGTCCCTGCGGCTAAGCACATATTTATGACTCTGGATACCCCTATTGCCGCCGATCCCCTTGTGTCTTTTGATTCTCTCCTCGTCGACCACGACCAGATTTGTGCGAGGCAGGAGAGGAGTCGGCCCCTCCACTGTTTTGGTGATATCATCCATTTGGTTAGTCGACTCTTCGTTTGGGTTTCCTGTCCCCACCTCTTTACCCTTCGCTCCCATTTTCGGTCCCCCCCATGGCTGACCTTTCATCGTTCCAATTACAGAGGCTTCCACCCCTGGAAGATTCCTACCATGCGTCGCCATCCCTCTACTTGAGCTCAACGGTCCATAACTTTTTTTCACTTCGGGGATCTTATCTGATCTGTCTTTTTCTTTTTTTGGCAAAGGCAATCGGGTAGCAAGGTGACAGGAGAGGGGCTCCGCTCCACCGGGTGCACTTGCTTTGTCCGCTCCCCCAGGTGTATCCATTCCGCCTTCCCTTCTGCTGAAACCCCGCGTGAAGGTCGCCCTTGAGTTGTGTCTGTCCATCTGACCAGAGGCAAAAATGATATTTTTTCTTTGACCCTCATTTTGTACCATTCCTCTGTCGTCTGTTCTTCTCAACTGTGTAGCCGCTACCCTAGGTATTGCACTCATCTTTTGGCTAGCTGGTATTCCTTTCTTCTCTGCCTGTTTGAAGTTCCCCTTGATCGTTTTGATATTTTTACTATTTGAGGAGAGCGTGTGCGCGGCGAAGCGTCTGTTTGGCGGTGGTGCCTCCTCCCTCTGAGCTTTGGAGGG